TCACTCTCTTCATTATCACTGGCCAATCCAAAAAAAAGAAAAGGAAAAGACCCGGGGGGGGGGGGGGGGGGTATGAGGAGGGAAGTGGAAATACGCAAAAGTTGAAGAGAGACAATAGAGACAGATAGAAAGACAGACAGACAGAGAGAGAGACACAGACAGCGAGAGAAAGACAGACAGACAGACAGATACAGAGAGAGAGAGAGAGAGAGACAGACAGATACAGAGAGAGACAGACAGACAGACAGACAGACAGACAGAGAGAGAGAGAGAGAGAGAGACAGACAGACAGACAGACAGATACAGAGAGAGACAGACAGAGAGAGAGACAGACAGACAGAGAGGGAGAGAGACAGACAGACAGACAGACAGACAGACAGACAGAGAGAGAGAGAGAGTGGTTCAGAGAGCTGCAGCTATCTGCTGAAATATTCATGTTGGTGCCAGCAGCTTTTCCATTCCCCGCTCAGCAGGGGGCTGCTGTTTGATACATCCATCGCTCTCTCTCTCTCGCTCTCTTTGCTCGCCCCCTCTCTCCCTCCCTCCCTCCCTCCCTCTGTCTCTCTTAACTAGTAAGGTTAGGATGGCATGGCCAAACTACCGACCAACTAGCAGTGATGCCACTCGGATGTAAAAAAAGAGGTTTTCATATTGTGTTTCATAACAAGAACATGAGAAATCTGCACACGTATTTCCCTTTTATGATAATTGAAGGAACATATCCGGCAATTGGACCACGTCAATGAGCAGCAACTATAAGGTCTTTATTGTTTTGGGTATTATTTCAATATTTCTGTGTGTATGCTACAGCAATGCTGATGTTATCATAGGACTTCAGCACAAATGTGATAAATATGTTGATTAGTGTGGGATTTAACAGAACGTGACAAATCAACTAATCTGAAACCTTTATCCATAAAATGTTTTTCAATAGATTATTAATTGCTAATATCAAAGGAAAACATGTATACAGCATGATTGTAGGAGTGAATTAATATTATGCACTCCTACCAGGAGTTTAATTTAGATAAATAATCAATCAATGAATATAAAAGAAAAGAATAAATAAAGAAAGAAAGATTTCAATTCAAAATACATAAGCTGCATCCTCAAGATGAGACTATTTCTAATTAAAGGGAGCATATATATCGCTGTATCATCAATGTTATATAAAGATTTCAGCCATTTCAAACAAGATCAGCTCACTCTTAGTACTCATTAAGTCAGAGTCGACAAGGCGAGAGCAGCCACAGCTTCCCCTCAACGATTTCTAAATTAGGGGCATTCATTTATTATTTTGCACTGAACTCCACCTTCCAATAGCTGTCAGCGAGTTTACCATCAACCCTCGGTTATTTATTGAAGATTACCTATCAAAGCTTGCTTTACTTTAGCCGACCACATACAGGGACACTCAAGGTAAACAGAAAAAGAAAATAGAACATCTTCTTCCCACCACTGGAAATGGAGTCTTTTGAGATGAAGCCAGATAACGTGAACACGGTTTAAGTTGGGGAGAAAAGAAGGCAGATATGAGAAGTTAAAGGTAATAAAGTGAGATAAAGAAATGTCCATCCTGAGTTGATTGTCTCACTCTAAGTTTGTGTGGAGATTTTAAGCATCACGTGCTGCGGACGCAGTTCCACAGGCCTTTCCACACAGCACAGGCAGCGATCCAAGGGAAACACTGAGGACATGAAAAAACAGCAGCTGGAGTCTCGGAGGGCGAGGTTGTGCCTTTCGGTGAGTCACCGCATCATTTTATTTAGAACTGATGTCAGGGCTGGTGGTTAAACAGGGAGGGGCTGCCTGCAGGGTTACACTGTGTGCATGGCACACGTGTATATGTGTGTGTGTGTGTGTGTGTGTGTGTGTGTGTGGTTGCATTTAACCAGCACATGTGTTGGGGGATGTGGCAGATGCTGCAGAGGCAAAAATTAGTGTGTGTGTGTGTGTCTTTAAGTGTGCATTAAAAATATCTTCTCTACAGCGGGAAGCCACAGCGGCCAATTACAGTGCAGCATCTGGGCTTGCACTCATTTATTAGTGTGTGTGTGTGTGTGTGTGTGTGTGTGTGTGTGTGTGTGTGTATCCGCGTAGAGGGGATGGGGAGGTTCAGGCGGAGTTCAGGTTATTTACATCTTAGCGTGTAGAGTTTCGCTAAATGCTGCATTGTGTGTGAGTGTGTGTGACAGTGGCAAGGCTTTGTGTCACAGTGGCAGAATCTTAACACTTATCAGGAAGAAGACGACAGAACAATAAAGAGAGATTTAGAGGGAAGGGAAAAAGAGTAAATCCAATGCAGCAATGAAGACGACGGTGGGAATGGAAAGCCTTTAACGAAGGGAGGGAAGGGGACTAAACCAGATAAAAGCGTTGTCATTTCCAGCAGAGATGTGATACCGCACTGTTTTTACTCACCACGCCACTAAATGTACCACCACAGCAACAAAAGATACAGCTGCACAATATTAGTCTGGTGCTGGATAATTCCCTCTGGAGTCTGTGATTAATTCTATTTATTTTTATTATTATTCATTTTTTTCATCTCATCATTATTATTATTATTATTAGCTAAATGATAAAAAAAAAAAACATACCAATTGGACCAATTGGATGAGCGTGCGTTTCTACAAACCTACAAAGAAAATTTTACAGAAGCAGGGAAATAATCATACATGCACTTTGGTATTACAGGGTAATAAAAGAAGGAAACTGAACTTTAAATGAGCTTCCCTGACAATAGAGCATAGCAAACACTCTGGAAAACCTAAGAAAGTAGCTACAACAGGAGGCCCTCACTTATTGAGGAGTGGGAGAGCCTGCTGTGGTCCATTTGACAAAGACAATGAGAATTTATCCTCAGCTTTCATTCTATTGTCATAAAATGTTTTCCATCTGCTGGTACATTTATGTAATCTATTGTAAATGTTCTTCAATATCAAACTTTGGGCCTCCATAGTTTGGGTTTTGAAAGCTAACGGGGACAAACGATGGGACAGTCATGACATGCTCTTCAGTGGGAGGGCAAAGAGGAAAAGGCGAATGAACGTGGAGGAAGGTGGAGAGCTTTTTAATGAGCTTTTCAAGAAAGCTCTCTAATAACTTTAGAGCAACCCCCTTTGACATCGTCATCAATCAAGGTTTTCCCATATGAGCGAGTGAGGAGAGAGTTCACTCTAATTCGAGCCCATCGACAGTGACTTCCATTATTCATACGTTCAAACGACATACTGTGAATGCTTCCCTGTGCGTGTTATATGTGCAGGACTGAAAATGCACTTTTCCTTTCTTTCTGCAGAGTGGAAAGAAAACACCATGTTACAATTTAGGCCCACTGAATTTTGGAAATACAACTTATTAAGATGACAATGAAAAGCAGTTACAAAAGCCTGACAAGTGGATATTCCATCGAATCGGTTTCAGTGACTTTATTGAGGGATCTCTTTTCAAATCAATTTTCATCTTTTCTTTTCTTCCCACCAACACACACATTTTACATTGCCTGACCAATGGAAGTTCTAAACCTCAAACTTTTTTGAAGATAGTCACTTTCAATCTAAATTATTAAGATGTGCTCTGACATTAGTGAATGAGATTGAGATTGTGTTTCCATTTTTTAATTAATAGAATGAAAGTGAAATAACCGCAATCCTGCTGTGGCAATTAGCTTTCATAGAAAATCTATTGGCCTCAAAGAAAGACTAATGTTTGTGGGTGCAAGCAGACAATCAGAAATGGATGTTTCTTTTTGTTTAGAATTGTATTGGTGACACGTAGCAACTGGGCAGCACGAGGAAGATGAAAAACACTGGCCTGTTGATCGAGTGCATGGAGGGAGAGAGAGAGGGGGGGAGAGAGAGAGCAATGCAGGGTATAGATTGCTGCAGTGGAGATATTGCTGTCAAGAGCAGAATGTGCTCAGCAGGGCAGAATTGGTCTAGTAGCATGAGACAAAGCATGTAAAATACCCTGTGAGATAATGCATGACCTCGCCTACTGCCTGCAGCAGAACAAACACAGCATCTCAATGGGAAGGGCATCGCTCTTTGGTCTGTTTTTTGTTTGCTCATCAAAAATCAAGCTGTCTTTTTAGACATTTCACCTTTTGTACCAGCACCGAATTTACAGTTGTTTGCTTCGAGTTGTTGGCAACTTCTATCCCATCACAGTTACAGCCACAAAAAGCTGAGAACTCTTTTCGGCGATTAATGTATCCTCATTTTCCTTCTATTCTAATCTATTCTGATCAATTCCGTTGTGATGAAAACAATCATCATGCAATAGTCACCGCACAAAGAAAAATCCATCCAGGTTTGTGGTCGGTCTAATGCGCACTCGCTTCAACAGGGAATAAGCTCACAGGTACTCAGATGAATCAACCAAGTTATCCTCACATTAACGTCTCCCTCTCCTCATTAGCAACACAGATAAAGAGCAATGACTGAAAACAACACTTGACGTGCACATGGTGGTGACACTAAATGCGCCCAGCACACCTTCATGGCCTCGGCTTTCTTTAGTCCTCCTGTTTTCAGGTTTCCTCTAAAGGGAGATTTACACATGTGTAACTACTACCACCCAGTGGTCAAAGCCGCACACTGCCAAGCCATGCAGGCTCGGTCTTAATTAGGCAAAAGTCATTTCCTCTCACTTGGTGGTCAGAAATGAGTCCTTGAGTCCCCCCGCCCTCCACTGACATCAGGCCGAATGGGGAAAGTTGGTCAACTTGAATCTCGGTTCAAGCTACAACTGAGCAGGCTCTTGTGACATCACAGCTTTTTAATTGCATGTCTAAACACTGACAGTATGTGTAGCGCTATGTTATTCTCTCACACCGACATCTCTTCTCTGTCGTAATTTATCATCATGTTCACAACTGCATTCATCAGTGTGTCCTAGAGTACTTTTCCCACAGGTCTACTCCTCTTACACAGCTCAATATCACGCCGATTTATTGTCACCAAGGGGACCTTTGCCAACTCGTTGTTGACGGCGCGTCATGGTTACAAATAGCATTTATTAGATCACCACGTAATAAAAACATTTATAGTAAGAAATATGTGTTGAGTGAGTGATTTTTAAACTAACGTGACTAAAACAAGCTTAGATGATGCAGAAACACACACACACGCACACACACACGTATGGTACATTCCAAAAACTTGTCATCCAAAACAAGGCACCCTATAATGTCATCACATAAGAGGAGATCAAATCATAACACGTATCACCTGCATTAACATGTCACCTGTGTGTCCTTCACATATTCTGTCATCAACTAATGGTTCAAATAGAAAATACATCAAGTGTTATCCAAACGTCATCCGAACAGCTGAACTAAACACAAGAGCATTGATCTCAAGTCTCAAATCTCAGTTTGGGGGCTGATTATATTTGTCTTTATATTTGTCTTTATCTGTGATTATAGTTCACTCGTGAGGTAAAAAGCTGTAAAAATTGACGTGAACTCTCTTTGGCACAAATTCCAATTTTTTTTTAATCAACTTTAAAATGTTGAATTAAAAGAGATAAAAAGCAGTAAAGTTGAGCTTATTCAGAACATGTAAGACAAGAAACATTTCAGGCCTGTTTGCAGTTGTATCTTTGAGGTACGTATTGTACAGTAAATGAGCAGTAAGCCGTCTAACATGCTGTTGAGACTTTTAATTGTGTAAATCAAAGATCATTTTGTGTGAGGAAAAGAAAAAACGACAGTCATTTTATATAGCCTAGATAAAACTTTTAACTCCTTCATGCAATGTATCATCTGTAAAGTACATGTTTAATAGATTATGTGTGTTTAACTGAATCACAAACTGAGGGAAGCTTGAAAGGTAATCAGGAATGTGTTTGTTTTTGTTCTGTTGAATGGATTATTATTGGTGTTGGTTAGACGTCGGTGGTGTTGCTTTCCTCCTCGTGGACTCCCCAGTGAGCTCCCAACGCAGTGATCCCTGACCCATCGGAGCGGCCACTCAGCAGTTTGAGCTCCGCGTCCGGGTGGGAAGCGTAGAAGTTAAAGGAGGCCTGTAACCGAGCATCAAAAGGAAAAAATTAACACATGACCGTGAGTATTGGTATTGATAATTGTAAAAAAAAAAAAAAAACACACAAAAGGATTTTTAGGTAATTACATAGAGTGGCTGGCCAGCGAATAGTATGCGCCCTCTGGAGGTCACAAACTTTAACTGATAGATGTAGTTGGAGTGGTATTTACCAGACACCTGAAACACGAGAGCGACATCACATGAACACAGTTCACAGGTGTGACTGGACTTCAATGAGTAAACAAATTATGGACCATTAGAATAAAAAAATATGTATGAGAATGAAACTAAAATATTTATAAATATCAATAAATATTGCATTACATTGTCCCATGAAAATAATTACTTTTCTCAATATAAAAAAAGGTTTGCTTATCTCTATTCACACTAAACTAATATTTTACCACCAGTGAGTCTCTGACCTGAACAATCGTCTCTCCGTCAAAGAGCTCCAGCTCTTCAGGGACGCCAATTTCGCGACCAGCTCGTTCAGTCCAGATGCCGCCGTAGCGCAGCTGGATGCTGCAGGACGACACAGACGAGAGGAAGGGAACACTTATACATATACGCAGTCATGATGTGGCTGGATATTGCAATAAAGCGTGCAGGAACGGGTCAGAATCAAAACAAAAGTTGATGTATTGAGAGCAGGTATTAAGGCTGAACTTTATGTTTCCTCAGTTTTAAAAAGAGAAATAATAATATAACATAATTACATTGGTACAATTCATCTAATCATAGAAATGTAAAGTGCATAAAGGATTAAAAACTTAAAATTGCACATTAGATAATAGGGAAGATAGTTCGTTAATCAGGAGCTACAGCTACTGTGCTTACAAAAATGTTTGAATAACAATAAGCATTCTTTCAACTAAAACATAAAATACAAAAATACTCGACACTCCCCTTTCACCCCTTAATCATTTCTGCACGGCCCTTGACACATCTGGACTAGACGGAGGACAGACTGACCCAACGATGTAAGCGTTGTTAAGCTCCCAGACTCTGATCGCTGTGATCTTTCCGTATCCTCCTTCCGTGGAGAAAGAAGTGCCACTACCACCTCCGACCGAAGGAGAGTAGGAGTAGTGCATCATGGGAACTGTAGAAGGAAAGCAAAGGTTTTAAGCGATGGACAGGAGGAAGCGCAACTGTTATTATATGACAATCTTATTAGACGTTAAATAGAAGTTTGTGTCAAAGTATGAAAATTCCTCCAAGAGTCTGAAGGTGAAACCTTACCAGCCAGGCAGCCGGTGCAGAGCACAGCGACGAATAGGAAGACAAACATTCTGCTGTTTGAAGGCGCGCGGAGACGACAGCAGCTTGTCCTCAGCAAAAGATGAGATGAAGCGGAGACGCTGGCCCTCACTTTTATAGAGCGCAGGTATGTCCCTCACACGCAAGCACATACCGTAACATTGCTTTTGACAGCTGAACAATAGCAGACACACAACTCCGAATGACTGAATTTGAACCAGGAAAAGAAAATCTTTTTTTTGCACTTATGGGAAAGTGAGTCACTGTGATTTACTGATCAAACCAGTCGACTTTCTCATTGATCTAGTTTGCATTATTTATTACGTCGTTACATCCAAATGTGATGAGCTGTAATATTTGTTTAGTAGCAGCTGTTCAGTTCAGTTCATTCTTTTCTTTCATTCTTTTTTTGAGTTTGCATAACTTTCATGGAAATGGTGATTTAGATGATTTTGTACCTTAAAGGATTTCTCATCCACGTTGGTCTAAAAATGCATCAAAGTAAAAGAGTTCCAAGAAATCAAAGCAAATGTGTTAGATAACCTCTCAGTCTACTGCAGCAGGGCCTTCTTAGTGCCTCCCTGACCTATAGCGAACTTATCCAGACAGAAGAAGAACATTGATTGTTGTTGTTTTACTACAATAGAAACCAAGACCGGTTGATTGTAATGTTGTTTGACTGGCTGCCGTGCAGAGACGGGGAAGACCGCAGTTGGAATAAAATGATTGCAACAACTTAACACTATAATCGAATACATTTTTTCCGGAAATTAATTACATTTCTTAAATAGTCTTTTTGGCAAGTATCATTTATGTTTCTTCTTCATTTTATTTGTATGACAAACTACTACATTTTATACAATGTATCTCCATTTATATCGAGCATCTTGAAAAGCTACTGTGAACGGCGTGCGGAATGTATGTTTCAAACAGCATCAATGTCCAGTGGGCCGGACAGGTTCAGGACAGGTACGGCGTGCAGACACACGTGCACACAATCATATAGCGGACTGTGGGGCGATCTAGGGGTGAACGTTGGAAACTAAAACATGTTATTTGAGAAGAAACCAAACCTGCTTAAAGTTTCACACCAGATAACGTGCTTCCTCAGTGGCATTGAGACCTCCGATTAGAATCTATTCTTATAAAAACCGGAATGATGGGTTATAGAACGAGGAATGACATTCTTACTCACAACCACACGTACTGAAGAATAGGAACTTGCACAGATTACCCCAGTCGCTGAGGCGTCATGCCACAAGGAGTATGTAGTATGTAGTGTTTAGTGTATGTAGTTCTGACTAAAGCATTTAAAAGAGCATTGTTTCTTTAGTGCAGGCTACACGGACATGTTTGATGTGGACACATACATTTTACTCGGACTGGAAAATCTCTATTTTCACCACCTTTCGTACGTTTCAGTTGTCTGCATTTGTGACCACACTGTGACACGATAAGAAGCACCTACCCGAGCTACTGCACCTGGAAAAGGGACAGTCTGATGGAGATCAACAGTCACACAGGTTCACGGCATCAATCTGAATAAACCTTGGAATGTAATACCTCTGTTGCATGTCATGTGTTTAACCGGAAGAATTAGAGCCGGACACTTTTAACAGCTCTCACCAGTAATGTTGAGCTTATGCACGACAGAAATTGGTTAAAAAAAAAACTACAATATACGGTTTATGAGCATTATAACATGCTCATAAACTATTTTACAATGAGCATTGTATCTATGCATCTATAAACGTTGTAGTTAAAACCTGCAGTCTGGAACATAACAATCGGTCCCTCCCCATGAAAGCAGGTACCATTCCTTCCCGCAGCCTCTGACAGCTGAACAATAGCTGGAGTAATTCCCCTTTTTTCAAATAGCAAAGCAGCTTTATTTCCCCGTGCAAACATTTTCAATGTTTCAAAATTTCCACAGCGTCGCACGTGTTGGGTAGCAATTTCATTTAACAGCACATGCATCATAAGCAAACAATGTAAGTGTTGTAACTTCATCTCAAAAGGTTTATTCCAAAACACAGGATTCACGTGGGGTCAATTTTAGAATCATACTTTGAATGTATTGCCATGTGTGTCAGTTTGAAAAAAACAATATCTCACTAATGAATTGTCTAATTAATTGCATATGGAACAAGCCATTTGTGCAGAGCTTTGGTTTGGCATCGAACGACATATCAAATATCTAAAAATCTGTTTTTGAAGCAAGCCAATTTTCCAGTCTCTTAGTCACTGATGGTAATCGCGTGTTTATTAGTGGCCAACATTACACACTGATTTTAACATGTTATCCCCTGTGGATGAGGTGACAGTATTGATATAAGTAGTCATACCAATTATTATTCTTAACACTTGAAATTTGCCATGCAAGAGGACTTCTGCAGAGAAACGGAACGATGTGGCCTCACTAACAGGCTGCACGCCGTACCTGTCCTGAACCTGTCCGGCCCACTGGACATTGATGCTGTTTGAAACATACATTCCGCACGCCGTTCACAGTAGCTTTTCAAGATGCTCGATATAAATGGAGATACATTGTATAAAATATAGTAGTTTGTCATACAAATAAAATGAAGAAGAAACATAAATGATACTTGCCAAAAAGACTATTTAAGAAATGTAATTAATTTCCGGAAAAAATGTATTCAATTATCTAGCGTCGATCCCTTAATGCTTAATAAAAGTTCAAAGATCTACCCTTTTTTAATCTATGCCAAGATAATCATTTGGTAGATGAAAATCCCTCTTGTGGCACATTTGTTTCTATAAACGATTGAGGTCTGTGGGACTTTATTCGTCGTGGGGTTAAATCTGTTTAGTAAAACCATTCACTTGATGAATGTGTTGTCTAGTTACTCTGAGACCATAATGTGCACAAATTTGACATGATTTGCCCACAAATATCTCAAATACCTAAAAACCTGTTTTTGAAGCAAGGGAATTTTCCATTATCTTAGTCACTGATGGTAATGGCGTGTTTATTAGTGGGCACGTGTCTGTGTGTGTTTACAGGCACACCATTTATTTATTTTTGTCCAATCTGCTTTTTTTGTAATAATCTAAACTCCGAGTGAGTGACAGCAGGCTGTTTGATGAGTGATTATAGAAAGCGGCACATTAACTTATTTTTATTGGCGTTACAGTTCTCAGGATGAGAGAGGCCGATGGCGATGACACAAGAATAAATGACACAGGCAGAAGTGGCTTCTTCTGTCAGCGTCTTCTCAAGCAATGACGACTACTTTCACATTTGAGTGGAGAGCATCTCCACATGTCTAAATTTTTGCCTGACAACATGCTTAAAAAATACAAACAAAACAAATTCACAAACCAAACCATAAAGGCTTGCATTAATATCATGGATTGAAGATGGTGCCTCTGCTTCATTTGTACAGCAAGCGGCTATCATGTGCTAACAGTGATTTTAAATACAAATTGTAGTCAAATTAGCATACTAAGTCTAAATCAACCCAACAGAACATAACATAACGAATTGATTAATTTAATCACAAAAGTATAGTAGATGTATAGAAACCAGATAAAACGAGGGGGGTTACGTAACGTTACACAGGGCTACTATCATCCTAACAGCGCATCACACGAGACAAATGTTCTTCATTTCAAATTAATAAAAACAAACACAAATGTGACCATACATTTTGTGTGCGTCACAATGGCATTTGGTTAAATAGGATGAAATACGTTTTGTACATGATAATAAACGTGTTCATCTTGTGTTTTCCACAAAGCTTAATTTCTGCAATAAACCAAAAGCTAATGAAAAATGACGTTGCTATGCTTTTTGTTGAGGAAACCAGTGCTATGCTTACATCCAGGGTCACAACATCTCAATACTGAGGCAGATGTTCAGTACTGTCCCACATACAGGTACGTTGACAACATCAAGCTTAGATTGTATTTAGAATTAAACACATCCTTTCTAGTCTAGAAAGTAGTAGTAAATAGTACTGTAGCGACTCTCGCTAATGAAGCTCCAGACAATGGACTCTTTTATGTTTTTTATTAATCGAACAGGCTACTGTGGGCCGTAGTCTACGCCGAACAACAACAAGCACCTCCGACACAACGCACGCTCCCGCGTTACCTACTACACCCGCGCCCAAACACCCCCACAACATGTGCCCATATAGGATAACTGGCGTAACGTTTACTGAACTACTAAAACATAGTAAATTAGGACTCCGCTTAACAGTCCGTTACAGAACATTTGTTATTTAATCGTGAATTGTTGAAAATGTATAAACAACGTATTCAAATATCTACTATCTTCAACTGTAAAGTACTAGCGTGACAGAACGATCGTTTCACCGTATCAGACGCTGCAAATGAGCAAGACAAGGAAAAGGTCCCTGAGAATAATACAAGTGCTGCGAGCGAATAGTCCTTCTTGCTTAGGAAGGAATATTCCTTCATTTCACTTTTATTTTTCTTTGGCGTGTGATGCTTCCTCTCACCACTAGATGCCTTCGTTGAGCTTTTGAAGGTCATTTCACTTGCACGTACAACTCTTCCGTTGTTGCCTCAAAGTAAATCACACACACACACACACACACACACACACACCCCTGTCAGACTTCTCTACGCCCACAAGGGATGTCAAAGAACATGCTGATGAATCCCTGTGACACCAGAAGTTGCCAGAATTATGACATGAAATGACTGTCAGTCTCATTTACTCACGTTCTACTATACAAAAAGGGAAATGTTCCCTCCTTAAAGAGCCACTCAAAGAAATAATAAATATAGTACAACTAAAAATAACTAAATCTTTTCTTTTCAATAGTTTCAGTCTACCAATGTTGACATCTACTAGTAGAAACATTCGTACTGCTCCAAGACTTGGATTTAATCTTTGAATGTTCTGTTCTGAATGAAGGCCCGTTTAGGACTTAACTATTGACTTAACTTCTTATCTGAACAGAAAGTCCAGAAAAGAAATCACATATTGAAGAAGGGCGGAAGACTCTGCGCTTTTTCGCTGTTCAAAAGCTGCACTCTTTGCTTCTGTCTTCCGGTGTAACTATATGCCCCCGTACGCTAGTAAGATTTCATTTATACAAAGTACGGAAACACTCTTACATTCACTAGTGAAACGCTCGCACAGCCACGAC